GCTGGGGAGTTCTGGGAGTTGAAGTCCTCCCATCTGAAAGTGGCCAAGGTTGAGAAACACTGCGTTAAACCATCCAAATGTTTTTCAGGCTTCCATGTGGGCCTGGAAAAAGAAGCCACAACTTTAAGGGTCTGCTCAGGGCAACTCTTAAAACTCTTCTTTCAGAAGCCTGAAAAAAGTTGGGCTGCTTTAACTGAGAGGGGTCACGCTTGCACAAAACACTTCCCCTGAATCATTTTCGAAGCAGGCAACAGCTCGACAAATTAAGTCCTCCCAAACCTGACAGAAAGAAATGAAAGTGAGCTTTCAAAACAGCCTGCTGTTACTCGCAGCTAGAATTAATCCAGTTTGATCTACCAGCTCGGGACTCCCAACAGCTCATTCTATTCATGTGTCGACCAATAATTGACTTCTGGAGGGGCAGGGAGTACAGAACGAAGCAAGCACTTACCTTTATGCCTATCTATTTTGCTGCTGTTTGCTATAAAAGACATCTCTTCTGGCCAGCTCATGTCTTTATTCCGAACTGCAACAACAGAGATCAAAGCTTAGCTGGCACCAATTTTATTGCATTTAGAACGCAGCTGACTCAATAATAATAATAATTCCAATAGATTGGAAGGCCAACTTCTTTGTCAAGACAGAAGAATCCTTATATTTATGAAAACCACGATGTGGTTTGAATCCAGAGAGCTGTCAATTGGGGGTGCCGCCATAAAGGATGTAAATGAAACAATCGTTCTTCGCCTGTAAAGAAATCCTTAAATGTTCCTGGGTGAGAAATTTCTGAACGAAATCTTTGTTTTCATGTATTGTGCATCAGATTTTGTCCCCCCACCCCAAGCTCTCTGGAAAGGTTGTAATGTATTAAAAATCTAATATGAACTTCCAATGATAAATGAACCAGAAAAAAATAACAATAGGAGGGGAAAGAAGAATTCTTAAGTTAATTAACCAAGCCTCTCCTCTAGGGCTCAAATTATACTTTTAAAAAATGAGCGATTAGAAACAACATAAGAGCTTTTGGGAATTATAGCGAAGTGGATCTGACCTTTCTCTTTCTTCCCTTGCTCCAGGCAAAACCTCGCTCCAAACTGCCCTCAGCCCCGCAGTGATGGAGTGGCTTAGAATATTCTTTTTGCCACTCAACCATAAAAGTCCTTGGGAAAAAGAGGATGCAGAGATGCCTCCTTTGGGTTTATTTAGAGGGACAAAAGGTCAGAAACGGAGAAAGCAGCACAATTTGTAGAATTTTTGCAGGATCTGGCTTGAGGGCAAAAAGCGAAAAGGCTCATGGTGTCTCAGTGATGCTTTCCCAATTTAACCCACATGGTCTTCACTAGCATGGTTCCCTTCCTGAAGGAATCATTCTTCCCCACCTTAACATTTTCCATCCTGATGGTAGCTGTCAGAAACCAACTTCAGATCCAGAGACCAAAAAAACCCTCCTTGCTTCCCCAAAGACCAGTTCACTGAAGCAATAGATTTTTTTTTTAATTGGGGGGAGGGCTCACTTTTTTTTACTGTATCCCCAGATCCTCTTCCTTCACGGAACAAGGACAGGGATTCTGCGAAAACAGCAAAATCTCACGGGATTCTGAAAAGATAGGAGAGGTACTGGGGAGAAAGTGGGTCTGCTTCATCGAAGGAAAATCGCCGCGGTGGAGAGCATGCGTGGGACAGAGAGGCCAGGGAAAAGAAGGAAGCTGGATCTGGCTTTCCATTGAGGAAAACACTTGAAGCAGAGCAGACTGGAAATCTTCCCTACTGGCAAAGTAAAACGAATCAGGTACAGACAGCTTAATGAGGGATAATCACTTTACAGACCGAATTTGTATACATTATATGTCTCGGTGTGCGTGGTGTGTATATGCATAGTCGCTGACCCTGCTATGAAATTACACACACCCACACACACTTATTTGGCAGTTTAGTATTCAGTACAGAAGCATCTCAGTTTTTTATTCATAAAATAGGTTATAATCTGGTTAGTTTTAATATTTAGATTTCTTAATATCATGTTATTGTCTTACAGTGAACTCTTATTAATTCCTACTGATTGTAGAAAATACCTGGGCTTTTTAATCTGTACTATATGTATATATAACTGTATATGTTTATGTGTGCATATACACCCCCCCCACACACATATATGTGTGTGTGGGTGTGTGTGCTGATTGCCATGCGATGCAGGTGGCATGTGCATAATGCATTAACTTTAATAAAATGGAGTAACAGAAAAATGCATAAAATACAATAAAACACATGCAATAATTACAAAAAAAGAATGGTAGCTGTCTGAAGAAATTATATTCTTTTTGAATTTCTGACATTTGTCTTTTAATTACAACAGGCCCATATATGGCCACCTCTCTATACCCAGGTCTCCATTGAGTATCTGATAAACTGTCATTTAATTATCCTTTAAGGTGCCCTGAGACTTCAACATTTAAGCAAATGCTATTAGTCTTAAAAAAAAGATGATGGCTTTTAAAACACGTCGTAAAGTAATCAAGCATTTGATGACTAATGTCTAATTACCAGTCTGCTACATGCTTTGTTAACAGGTATGCTATAAACAGACTGCATCATCATCATCACAATCAAAAGAGATCCTGGGACCTTCTACGTGTCCTGTGTGACACTACCCACCTCACCTAACTTGCACGACCATTTGTAAGGCATTATGGGAGTTGCAGTCCTAAATGGCACCTATCTGTATATCCTGGTATAAATTCAAACATTTGGTGGCAGAAAGTCAGATCTCACTCTAAATAAAATGTTAAGTGCACAGGCCATCACGGTGCCGTTTAGATACACAGCTTAACATACTTTGGGTCGCAGAATATAAGGCAAGAGCCACGGTGTCTTATACCTTCTATAATTAAGTGCTGTTCATCTTGAATGTTCAGGTATTCCAGCGTGTGATCTTCATCGTCTAGAAGAGTCAGGTAATTCTGCAGAGAAAAAGCTGCTGGTGAATTTCTCTGTGCTTTGGAACAGCCACACCTGACGACCAGAGAGTGCTGATCAGATTCCTTCCTTGTTAATTCAGACATTTCACTAATCCACAGTTACAATGTCTTAATCCAGAGCCAGCATATATATTTCCATATGGCTTGGCATGTCCTTCCCAATCTGACCACAGGCAGATACGCTGGCTCTGCACATCCCAGCATTCCCAAGAGGCTGGCTTAGCATGTCTGAACTAAACTGCAATCTAAGGATGAACAACTCATTTGGAAAGGTCTGGAGCCCAATGGTCCAATGCCATTCGCACCAAAACAGGCCTTGGATCCCACCATTCAGATCAAGCTTTTCAACTTCCAACCACCATGCACGGGCTGAGAGCCCACCAGTTTCTGATCCACGGGAATCCTCTGCAATTCCGCCATTACCTCGCTGTTGTAAAGCCACAAGCGCATATCCTCCTCCTTCATCCGCAGCCTCTGCGACAGGTATTCATGGATCTCCTTGATGGTCTGTGTGCGACTGAAGCAGCCGGTGTAAGCCAAGACCCTCTTCAAGGGAGCGCTGGGAGAAGGGACGTTCCCTAAATTCACAAGCAGATACAAATGTGCATTAAGAACCAAAGGGGGAATACACAGCTGTACTCAAGAGCGCACAAATCTTGGGCTGATCTGGACTTGCTGGTGTCTTAGGAGCTGTTTGGCTGGCCCTCTTCCTTACTTATAACACAGTCTGAAGCAAAAGCAGGCAGAAGACACACAGAGACAGAATGACTAAATGAATGTGCAGCCTTGCACTTGAGTAAACTTGCAAAAGAGCCAAAGTTGGGTAAGTGAAAATGCTGGGCTGATGCCTCTTTGCCTGGGAAGACCACTGCAGGTGGGAAAACAGGATCAAACATTTCCAAATATCAAGCCAACCGGTGTGAAAGGGCTAGGTCTGTCCCTTTCTGGTTCTGCCTTGGCCAGGGTTGACCCTATCACAAGCCATTTCATAAAACTGCAGCAGAAGAAGAGGACAAATTGCAACGCTTCCTCTATCCAATCGCCTTCCACTGCCAGCTGTTCTACCTGAACAATTTCTTGCAGCACTGTGTGGATTTCCCCTTGATTAAAACTAGCATTTTAAATGATAGGCATTTCAGACACTCTAGCAGGGATTACATAATATCTGCTTTTTAAAAATGGATCCTAAACTGTTACAATTCTTCAATGCAGACAGTTTTTGTTATTTAGATACAAGGTTTAATGTCTGTTTTCTGGGTTACAGGCCACACAGGTTATTGGGGCTCCATATTTTAGTTGTAATCTTAAATCGGATTGTAATGTGCATTTCTTGATGTTGTATTTTATTTTATTTTTTTCATACTGTGCCTAGCTATAATAAAACAACTACTAGCTGTTTTAGTAGTACTAGCTGGAGAAGGGAGTCATTTAAATCTCCCTTCACCAACAACAGCCTTGTGGGGTAAACTGACCTGCTGCGACTTACTCAAAGTCATCCAGTAAACTTCCAAGGCCTTGAATCTGGACTTCCTTCATCCTACCTAATCCATACAGCACACAGCTCCCTTTTTTTATTTCTTGTACTGTATACTATTTTTGTGCAATACCTTCCCCCCGCCCCAATGGAGAGATCCCCACATTGGCAACTCAATTCAAAATCTGAAATCTAGAAACCAACTCTCATTTAATACTTCCTAAAAAATATACGGGTCATGTTTGCTTTGAGGTCATCAGATTTATTTGTTTGTTTGTTTGTTCGTTAAATTTATATGCTGCCCATCTCCCCCAGAGGATGACTCTGGGCAGCTTACAATTAAAATCCGAAACAATAAAAACAATAAAAATATTAAAAATTCAGATCCATTAGATAAAAGACTGAAGGAAAACAAAATGCACTTACATAATAAACTTTCTTCAGTTTTGAAACAGGAAATTACAAATTATGAAATGACTGATATGTAGTGTTTTTTTGTTTTTTTAAAGTTTGGCCTGCAAACCATTGGAAATATGGGTACCTTTACCTCCTGATGTTACTTGAGGTAAACTTTTATAGCTTTATACCTTTCCTATCGAGCAGTTACATTCCTACATGTCTTTGCTATTTAAGCTCTTTGAACAGATCCTTGCCGGTCTCAGTCACAGTAACTGCACCATGAACTCACGCCCACGGCTGCAGCCACTGCCACTGAGAAACTCAGCCACAATGCAGCACAGCGTGAGGAGGTGGGTGACTGGTTCATCTTCCACACTCTCCCAAGCAAGATGGCGTATGTTTGACCCCCTTTTCCGATTCTCTTCCTGCTCCCCAGGAGCGCATTATGCACATCAGCAATTCCTCATGAGCACATCACAGCCTTGGCAGCCCCCAGACCACTTGGGATGGCGTGCTCATGTTTCACTCTCGGCCATCCCTTCTCACCCAAAGTTTCATATTAGCATCTTCACCTATTACAGGTAATGCTAATCTGGGATCACCTACAAGATCAAATCCAGTTACGATTGGCTCTGGTGTCGGCTGAGTAAGAACATTTGGAGAAAGACAACATGGACTCTGAATGAGAGAGGAGGGAGCCTCTTGCCCTACTGTCAGCTTCCACTGCTTAAACAGGCACTAAGGGCAGATCTTTGATTCCCCAGGAGGCCAAATGCTGACAGTCTTCAATGGTTTTGACTTGCAACACTGCAGCAGGATGAGTTTACCGAAGCATTCTGTCTTAGTGCTTTCTTCTCCAATATGTGTCAGTGCATAAGAAAGCCCCATTCGATGGAAAATATGCCTGCTCTTGCAATAACCGGTACGATTAACTTAAATATCTAGCTTGATACAAACAAGGCCAGACCCTGACATATTTGCATGCAGGTTAATGAAAACAGCAAAATTTGAATTTTCAATTTCTTTGTAAGGTAGCAAGCATCTCTTCCCTTTCACACCCTTGTATTTTTCCATCTTCACCATCAAGCAAAGCATCCTCTCCCTCTCTGTATATAATACAAAGCAATTTTTTTCTGCAATCAAAAAGCGAGAGATTAAGAATAAGATTACAGCAAGAAAGCATGTTGGGTTGGAGGGTACGCTCAAGATTCATAGGTGATTTTATAGTTAGTGCAGAGCAGAACAAATGCCAAATCACGTTCAGATACAGCGTATTACAAAAATCCTCTCTCTTCCAAATTAGGGAATTTGATGTGTTGAAGGCACAGCAGTGCCTACCACAGAATATTCAATAAGATTTTTGATAGGCAGCTGGCTGGATTTCACTGTATTCAGATTAGGCCATGAGCCACTGATTTTAACAGATTGGGGGGCTTCCCTGAGACCCCTCTCTTTACAGGTGGCAGAAGCATTAAAGAAAACACCAAAAGTGGAAGATTTAGAATGAGCATTTAAGCAAACTCTTATTAAAGGTCAACACAACATCCTGCTTTTCTTCCCAAGACTAATATCATTTTGATTCCAGGAATTCACTCAGTATCTAGTATCAAGGCCAGCTGATAAGCTCAGAGCCCTTGAAAAACAATTTTTTTCCAAAATGTGTTGAGCTTCTTATCAAAAGGACATAGAGCTCCCCAGCTTTTCTCCCATCACAGGGAACACTGTTTCCAATGGAGGAGAACCATGACAAGGAGGTGGCTTTGCAACCATGTTTCTAAGAGGCCATTGTTTGCCCCTTTTTTTCACAGGAGAGAATCCTTCCTTGATTTGCCCTCCACAAATATCTTTTTAAAAAGGGGAAAAGGAAATGTAAAAAGTAAAATGTGAATTTTGCACATCTGAACCAGCACGGTCAAAATTAGAGTTGCCAAAAGATAGCTCAACATTGCAAAATATTCTGATTTTGATGTTGTTTATACAGTAATAATAGCTCACAAGTGTTTAGAGAAAGCTTAGAAATACGTCTATGGAGAATTGTTAAAACATCCTACATGCTTCCCAAATACAAAAGTTAAATTAATCCACTTGGATCCAAGCTTAGTCTTATTTAAAGCAGGGAAAGCATGGGACTGAAATGGGACCAGCATTTGTCAGATCGACAGTGGACTGATTTCAGTGAATCCACATTGATTTAGTCTAAGTTCTAAGACACTGAAGAAAGGCAAAATCTCTGATGAGGAAAATGCTCTAAAAATAAAACACTGGCTTTCCCAGGACTTGGAAGCCAATTACATTTTAAATTAACTACTCCAATGAGTCAGTGGCATTCTCTTAAGGCAGGACACATCTACAATATTGAGAAAATCCCATGGGCGCTCTCGCAAAGTGGCTGTGAAGGTTACTTGCCCATTCACAAAACAGCTGCAATGGCAGCAATAATCAGTTAACAATGAACTGATTTATTCAACTGTGACCTGGTATCTTCACCACCACCACCACCAGCACCCACAAGAAGCCAAATGATGCCAAGATGGCATGCAAGGCATGCCAATTAGGTGTGTGGACGTCTCACTTCCCCCCTTGCATAGATGCCTATTCCCACCCCCTCTCCGCACCTTCTCCTTTTTCTGGCATCTGGCTGCACTCTCCAGTTACTAACATTCCAATTTCCTAAGAACGTTTTGGAGGCATTTGTGGACAGAAAGCTGACGGAGAACGGGGAAGGGCAGATGAACCAGTGGGTACCTAGGGAGGCCTCTGCAGGCACACCATCCTTATCCCAGGCACCACGCTGGACACCCCAGAACATCAGTGTCAAATTAGGGAGCAGCGTATTTGCTCTTCCATTCCACCTACGGCGCTCAAATGGTGTCGTCTTTACGGGAAGAAGAAAAGACACTGGATGCTTCCATGACCTTTGATAAGAGTTTTGAATCGCTTTGGAAGGGAGGAGGGAGGTCAACCATCACCAACCGTGCTTTAAGGATTCATTAGCATCATTTACAAGCACTGTGGCAGCACAGGCGTCCAAGTCTGGGCGGTGGGGCCGGCCTCCCCTCGGGAACTACTGCGCAGCTGGATTCTTGCTGTAGTCTTACGTTACCTCTCGGCAAATGATGAGGAAACAGCCTCAGGCTCATCATACCCATGTTCACCCAAACGTTGGACTGCTGGGTCCGGGTTGCCGGCTGCTGTCTCAGAAAGAGCAGGTAGCGGGGGAAGAGCTCCAGCTCTGGCAGGCCCGTTGCGCTGTTTCTAATCACCTGCAGGTTGAAACAAAACCAGGTCTTGCTTCATCGAGAATCAAGCTGGACTTTTTCGTCTTAAGAAATACAGCAGAGGCTGCAGACCGGATGGACAGAGAGACTAGGCAGGAGCGAATCCCCAGGCAGAGAAAGCCATGCTCCTAGGAGCCAAGTATCCCGAGAGGCACTGTTTGCCTCAGCTGTCTTTTTACCAAAGGATTCTTGGAATAAAACAGTCAGATGGGGTGGGTGTGCTGCAAGGCACAGCTCTTTAGGGATTTATTTATTGTGCAGGATAGTTCATGGGCCCCACAAAAGTCCCACTAGGGGTGGGAATAGGGTGCCCTGAAGAGCTTTCTGGCTGCACCCACCATGGCAGTTGTGAGTGTGTCCACCATACACTCAAAACTCCAAATAAGCCTTTCATGCAAAAAGGTTCCCTGTTCTGGGTTTAGTTCATAGGTGGGCTCCATCTTCGTAACCCTTCCATGCATGGAGTCCCAGGTTTTATGAACATTAGAAGAGCCTCTGGCAGTGAGTCTGAAACCCTTTGGAGATGAGATGTATGTAGACTGTACTGGGCCAGTTGACCTGATAATCTAACCTGAAAAGGGCTGTTTCCAAGGCTTATACCAAATGCTCTTCTCACTCCCCAGAGGTTCCTCATTTGTTCAAGAGCTTGGGAATAAGATGTCATCCTTGCCTGAAGAGCTGAAGCCAGTCAAAAGGACAAAGAACCAGTATATTCCTAGTTCAGATGATGAGATTCTGAGCCCATTTTGCTTTGAAAAGGTGACTGAGACCCATCCAGGCAGAAGAGTATATTGTTCACACAGCCATTGGGAGTAGAAGTGGATCTAAATACACTTCTTGCCTGTCATTAGGCCTTTGCATATGATGCTCCCATTCTACAGGGTCCAAATGTATGACCTGGACAGTTAGTTCAACTCTGATCTACTGGATGGATAAATACAATCAAAATCATAGAACTGTAGAAGTGGAAGGGACCTCAAGGATCATGTAGTCCAACCCTCTGCAATTTGCAGGAAAACCAATTAAACCTTCAATGAGGAGTGGCTTTCCAGCCTCTTAAAAACCTCCAGAGATGGAGAACCCATCATCTCCATAGGTAGACTGTTCCATTGTTGTGCAATGTTATTGACAGAAAGTTTTCTTTATATTTACATGAAATCTAGGCAGCTGTTATATCTGTTATATCTGTCATTTCTTGTTCTGATTCTGCGTCCATGGAAACAGACCATCTTCTCTGTAGCTTCCCTGTATGTACCTGAACTAAAGAGCCTCTTGATGAGGGTGAAAGAGGAGAGTGCAAAAGCTGGCTTGAAACTCAACATTAAATAA